CTGTGACGTGGTCGGGTGCCGAGGGGAGGGGGTGGGCTTGGCTAGGGGAGCGGCCTCGAATCCGTCGGCGGCTATTTTCTTCTCGACTTTGGCTACGCCTTCGTTGGTTGTCTTGAGTGGCTGCGTGTAGGGGTTTGTGCTGGCAGGTGGGGTTGCGTGCGAGGGCACGGCGACCTCTGGTTGCTGGACCTTGGGAGCTGGCGCGGTCTCCTCGGATTCGATGGGGATATCCTTGAATGCCTCCGTCTCGGTTGCTGGTGCTGGGGTCTCCTTAACAGGTGCAGCGACGGCAGGGCTCTCGAAGGGCTTGGTCTCCTTCACGGGCGCGGCGACTCCGAGGCGGGCTCCTTTGTGGGCGGAGCGATGAAGGGGTTGTTGTTTGCCAGGAGGTCGCTCTTAGTAGACGCAATACCAGCAGCGAGAGGGGCAGCGCTTGCGCCTCCGATGGTGGGAGCTTTCTTCGACTCAGCAGCGGGAGCTGACACATCCTTCTGTGCGCCTACGGCAGCAGGGAGAGGTGCTTCCTTTTGTTGCTTCTCAGCAGCAATTGGCGCATCCCTCTGCTTCTCGGCGACAACTGGCGCTTCCTTCTGCTTCTCAGCAGCAGCGACAATTGGCTCCTCCTTCTTCGTCTCAGCGACGACAGGCTCCTCCTTCTGCAGCTTCTCAGCAGCAGGAACTGGCGCCTCTGTCTCCTTCTCCACAGCCTTAGCGGCGGCAGCAGCGGCAGCGGCAGCAGCACCAGTCTCAGGCGCCGCCTTATCCCCCGCCTCTTCTCCCGCAAGCGCAGCGACCTCCGGATCACTGATCTTCAAATCCAACGCGCCTGGTGTAATAAGCTCGCTGTCAATGGGAGGCGACGAGTTCGCAGCAACGGCAGCAGCAGCGGCTCCAGCCTCAACCGCCGGGGTCTGCTTGGGCGCCTGCGACGCAGCCTTGGGCTTGTTTCCGCCCTTCGACTTTCCCTTCTTTCCCTTTCCAGCCATCGTGTCGAGTGTGTCGCGTGTGATTTTTAAAAAACGAGGGTACGTGGGTCAGAAGTGTGTGCGGTTTGCAAGAACGACGACTTCGATATGCGAAAATCCAAGAGCGATTGATCGTGTTGCAATCTCTCTCTTTCTCTCTTGTTATTTTTAACTTGTGTCACCGGATTGTTGATGTTGTGCAATTGTCAGGACGGGTGACTTTGTAAGATGCCAGGTCGGGGGCGCCGGGACGAGCGTCGAAAAGCTCTGCTCGCTCGGGGCCCGCACGACCGCGGCTGCATCGTGCCACCTTGGGACGCTAGCACCCGAGAGCTGTGGGTGCGCGTCATGGCGAGGAGGGTTGGGTCCGCTTGGGGTTGGTTCTTCTGCTTTTGATTCGGTGGCTGAGGGGGTCTCACCCCGTCTTCGTTGAAAGGCTGGTGGCGGTTGTGGGAGGGAGGGCCAGGCTGGTGGGTCGGGAAGGGAGGGATGGAAGGGAAGGGAGGGCTGTAGAGGGCCGTGGATGGATGGAGGGGGAAGCTGAGGTTCCACTTGTGGCCGTTCTCACATGTGCAGTTGCCCCATTTGATTCTCCACGTATGCCGAAATTGGGCAAGACAGTAGTCTCAGTGATGTTCACAGCAGTGATTGAAGGGAATAACGGGAGGTAGAAGGGCAAAAATGGACATTAGTCGTGAAGTATGTATGTATGTATGTATGTACAGTACGTAGAGTATATCCATACGCGGAAGACGCGTAAGTGGTCCTGAATCGTTGATAAAATCGATCTGTTGACATTCTCATCGTACCATAAAAGATGATATTCACGATCCGATCTGTTGATGACTTGCATGTACGCTAGACCTATTATGGTCGAGTGTGGATGTACCGAGGACACGGACAGCCAGCCCTAAGGCTCGTATTGGATGGTTACGTAAGAGATTATATAAGCACATACGAATCACTCGAGTCAGTCAGCGAAATGCCCGAAATGCCCCTCGCTAGCTCGTACCAGCAAAAACGCAAAAAATTAAAAGTCACGTGCCGCCACCCAGAATTGAACTAGGGATCTTCGCATTTCACGACATGAAAGACAGTTGTTCTGTCCAAGTGGTACAAGTGCGACGCGTTACCACTGCGCCATGGCGGCAGATTTGGGTGGATTGAGGGGTATCGGGGATGAAGTGCAGGTAGGGTAATATGAAGCCGGGGATTTATTAGTTTTAGGTTTAGTTTATAAGTTATAGCGTCAGAGAAAGGGTAGTGCCTGTCTTAAATTTATGAGTGCAAAATGATAAGTTGTCTATGATACTGTGTGTGTTTTGTATCAGAGAGATGAGACTGATTCAGAGAGGGTAGTAGGGTAGAGTGACTTAGATCACGTGACTTTGATTCATAATCTACTCTCTACGCTGTACAACTCCCTCGCTCGAAGGCAGAAGTCGGCAAGTATGTCGGCAAGTGCGTCTAAAACTGTACCACTTAACATACTCTGTATTATAATACTCTTCCATTCTTGTACGAGATAACGTGATCTGTGATTAAGAGGCTGCTCTGGGTGGACTCCACGGCCCTTCTGTCCTGTGCGCCCTCAAATATTTTCCTGGTAGACTCCTGTCTGCTATTGTTGCCCTGAATGGTCGGTCTATTTTACTGCCGTCCCCCATCTATTAATAGCATCCCCCGCCCACTTCCGGTTCCCGTTCTCCTTCCCCGTTCCCTTACCTTTTCCCCTCCCCCCGTCCCTCCCGCCACCCACCACTCACAGTCGCCTATTAGCCGCCGACGTGCCAATACTTCCCAAACAACCAACCCACGCCGGCGATAACGGCGAATCACAGCCTCTACAGCTTGTACTTCGCTCACATCTTCACTTCTTCAAGGGGATAGACCCAGCATTTTCATGTACGATTCACCGACCAAGCACACTGTGCCATCCTGTCGCATTTTACATGCGTAAAGTACCACAGCACGCTGCACTCTCCGGACAGTACACACCACTCCCGGCCATGGCGTGCGCTCCCCATGCATTTCGTGCAGGGGACCGTCCCTGGGTAATCCCTGGGATCCCCTGAGAATTCCACTCCATACACCCCATACACCCCAATCGTGCTCCCCGTGCTGCATGAAGTGTGCATACCACGGGCAGTCCCAGGCCAATCGCTCCCTATGCGGCCAAGATATTTCACTCTGTGATGCCAGAAGATAATGCAGAGCCGGGGAGGGGCCCACGCCCAACCCGTTTCCAAGACATGGCCACTTCCCTTGGAAAATAAGGTGGAGTCTCGAGTGGTGTCAGGGAGAGGACCGAGCCTCGTCTACTGTAATATGGCAACCTCCATGATTGCCTGCATATCAGCGTTTTTATAGCCAGAGCTTGTTGGCCACAAGCTTGTTACCTAATCCACGTCGCGCCTCTTGCCTCTCCTCCCTATATGGCCGCCGAACTGGTCGCCTCAACCTATTTCTCGTCGTGGCCCGTATCTGCTGCACTCTCATCGCCAAGTGCCTGTGGCGCGCGACAAAACCCCAAGCTCTATTGTGATAGCCGCGCCTGATGCAACTCGCCCCGTGAAGTCGCAGCAGCAGCACCAGCTTGAGCTTCCCCCTCCCGCGCTCGACCCTCCGCCGGCTTCGCGCGCGACAATGAGCAGTCTCGCCGAAGCCTCCCAACGGCGCCGCCAGAATCTCAACCCCCTCGCGACGCAGCTGGGCCCGCCGCAGCCGCAGTTCCAGGCCCCGAACTCTGCAGTCAGTTTGAGCTCGCCCTTTCACCACCAGACGCCTTATACACCTGCCAGCGGTGTGAGGCAGTACAATCCGCAGCAATGGGGTGGTGCCCAGACGGGGTATTCGCCTGATAATGGGCGGTATTCACCGTCTCCTTCAGATGTGGTTATGGGTGTGTTAGCCTCCTACGAATTGAATGTGCTGTAGCTGATGATAAAATATAGCTCCTGCCCCTCCACCTTACTCGCCGCCTCGAAGCCATAACAGTGCGACTAGTTTCTCGCCGTTGGACTCGGCCACCTCGCCGTCACCGCTAAATCGCGGTAGCCCTGGGGGCGCCGCGTACAGACCTTCACCAGAAGTGCCCGCGGCTGCCTTCCCACCTCCTCCTCCGACATCGCGAACAAGATCGAGGGATAGGACACAGCCGCTGCTCAGCCATCTTGGAAATGTCTTCCACCGCAAGCCTACAACACCAGAAGTGCCAGCGCCGTCACGGCGGCGCGCATCGATAGATATAAGCAGAGACCAGCCGTCATCGTCTAGGACCCGGGGGTCGGTTGATGTAAGAGACCAACCATCGTCATCGCACAGGCCCCCACCACTTAATTTGGAGCCGTCTACAGAGGCATTCCCCGTCATAGTTGCTGAGCAAAGGCCGCCAGCTTCCAGGCGCGCGGTATCAGCAAGCGCAATCGGAACTCCCACAGGCCCCAGTTCCCGCTCGCGCAATTCGTCGACGTCGAGATGGGCACCTGGCATGCCACTACCACCTCCTCCGCCAGGGCCACCCCCGCAGTCGGGTTCCAGGTCACAAAGTCTGTCACGTCCAGAGGGTGTTGACCCGATTGTGTCCCCGCCGACGCGCAGACCAGCTCCTATTTCTACACTAGGCCCTGTTCCCCCCACTCCTGCGGGCTGGGTAGACAGCCCACGATCGTGCCGCGCACCACGACCGCGGTCACCTCGCCCTCCGGGAGCGCTACATCTCGACACATCGAGTGTCAGCTCGAGCGGCCACACAGAGTCGAATTCTGGGTCCAGCTCGTCCGGATTAACAAGAGCGCATGCGGTTCGGGGCGAACCAAAGAGTATTCGCGAGCGGAGGAGCGAGAGCAGATCCGGCAAAGCTGTTGCGATTGAAGAGCCTTCGAACAATCCCTGGGCAGAAGCCATTACCCCCGCTGATATTATGGTGCCGCCTATGACTGTGCTTGGCAGGCGCCCAGAAATTGCAAAATCAAACCCCGCCACCGCGCGCTCCTTCCAGAACCAGGATACCCCGAACTCATCGAGAACACCCAACTACCAAAGCCAGAATACGCCGAATTCGTCACGGACACTCAGCCATGTTACGCCTCGGTTGGCGGATATCCAGCAGCCCGAGTCGCGTGGCTCGACGCCCAGGCCATTGAACTCTGCAAGTCGCACTGAGGCGCCTACGCCGCCGTTCTCGCCCGCACAGTATCCATCACGGAACTCGTATCAAGGCCACAACCCGAATATACCACCCAAGTCTCTCCCAACTCCTCCGCCGAGCTCGCGCCGTCGCGCGGACGGCTCGCCTCGACCGATCTCGCACATCTTACACACGCCATTGAAGGACCAGGGTATGCCGGTCCCATTATCACCGAAGCGCGCACCGTCTCGCCAGTCACCGTCGCCAGCAGCTGGGAGTTTCAGCAGCGCAGCGCTGCAGAGGCATGAGCAGTTCATCCTGCGCGAGGCGTCCGCGCACCGGAGCGAGGAGACGCATCCGCCTTTTTGCCGATTTTATCGTTTCAGAATCGCGGATTCGGCGAGAGTTATACACCTCAGCCATTGATGCAATGGGCTCGGAGGTGCTAGAGCTGACACGGGACTTGTTCCGACCATATACGCACTCGAAACGTAGCTCATTCGGTTCGCACACCAGTACTGCAGAACATAAGGGGCTCAGCGGTCTGCCACCGCTGCAGACTGGACCGATTGATTCGGCGCCGTCGTCGGCGTCGAGTATGGGTTCTGCGGGACCGGGGTCGAGGCCGGAATCAACGTGGTGGACGGGGTATATGCCGTCGCTGTCGCCGATTCCTAGTATGAGCGCGAGTCAAGCTCAGGAGGAGTCAAGCTCCAGGGGCAGACCGTCGAGTAGGTGGTGGGAAGTTGGGCAATCTGGTTCGGGAGGGTCGCCAACAGTGCTGGAGCGGTCGAAGAGGGAGTCAAAGTACATGGGAATGCCGCGAGAGCTTCGCGAGTCGCTACAATGGGAGGGGAACGGAAACTCGACACCCTCGCAGCTACCCCAGTCATCTCCAAAAGCAGGCCCTAGTAACTACGCCTCCTACGGCCCCGACGAATACCCCCCCGAGAAAACAGGCTGGCACGATGAAGGCCCCATCTCCCCCCCC